CTGAATTCAAGAATATTTCCACTTTAATGAATTAACTGGGAATAATTTGGGAACACACCCCTGTAGTCAAGCTGATAGGCAGGAGTGCTTCCTAATTCATAGAAGAGAGAACTACATATTTAGTAAATTCTTCCCAATGAGAAGCATTCTGTTAGGTGATCACCTCATTTGATTGGCACATTCACAACAATGGTAGCACATGCGGTGAGTTCATCCAAACAGGAAAGGGAGACAGTTGCCATTGACACTAGTAATACACAGCTATCAATTTATAGAGTAAAATAATACTAAGGAAAAAACACATTGCATTATTCAAGTAACAAACTACCATTAATACACAGCCAGCAATATGCAGAGTAACAAACCAATAGTAAAACCAGGCTAATAATATACAGAGTAACAAACCACAAGTATGAATAGCTATCAAAACAAAGAATAACAAACCACCAGAAATAGTCAGCAATGTACAGTGTAATAAACTACCAGTAGTAATACACTACTTTGAGCAGGGTCTTCGTCTACCTATTGTTCCTGTAACATGTTGGAATTGTCTCATTTATTGTAAAAGTTCCAATTTGTAAAGCACTGGAATAAGTTGGCGCTATATAAATACCAATAATAATACTAACACCCTTAGTAATACTCAAGGAGTAATACAGGCATTGAAGAACCACATCTATTAAATCAGGGCTGTCCAGCCTGCGGCCCGCCAGATGTTGCTGAACTACAACTCCCATGTTCCCTGGCTATCTGTTTCATTGAAAGAATCATGGGAGTTGTAGTTCAGCAACATCTGGGGGGCCGCAGGTTGGACAGCCCTGTATTAAATAAATCAGGCATAATAAACAGCTGGGAACACACCCCTGTAGTCAAGCTGATAGGCAGGAGTGCTTCCTAATTCATAGAAGAGAGAACTACATATTTAGTAAATTCTTCCCAATGAGAAGCATTCTGTTAGGTGATCACCTCATTTGATTGGCACATTCACAACAATGGTAGCACATGCGGTGAGTTCATCCAAACAGGAAAGGGAGACAGTTGCCATTGACACTAGTAATACACAGCTATCAATTTATAGAGTAAAATAATACTAAGGAAAAAACACATTGCATTATTCAAGTAACAAACTACCATTAATACACAGCCAGCAATATGCAGAGTAACAAACCAATAGTAAAACCAGGCTAATAATATACAGAGTAACAAACCACAAGTATGAATAGCTATCAAAACAAAGAATAACAAACCACCAGAAATAGTCAGCAATGTACAGTGTAATAAACTACCAGTAGTAATACACTACTTTGAGCAGGGTCTTCGTCTACCTATTGTTCCTGTAACATGTTGGAATTGTCTCATTTATTGTAAAAGTTCCAATTTGTAAAGCACTGGAATAAGTTGGCGCTATATAAATACCAATAATAATACTAACACCCTTAGTAATACTCAAGGAGTAATACAGGCATTGAAGAACCACATCTATTAAATCAGGGCTGTCCAGCCTGCGGCCCGCCAGATGTTGCTGAACTACAACTCCCATGTTCCCTGGCTATCTGTTTCATTGAAAGAATCATGGGAGTTGTAGTTCAGCAACATCTGGGGGGCCGCAGGTTGGACAGCCCTGTATTAAATAAATCAGGCATAATAAACAGCTAGCACTACAGAGGGTAACAAACCAAGAATAATACACATCTAGTGACATGTATAGCAACATATCATTACTAATACACAGTTATCAAATTAGCTGACATGTACGCAATATAAATAGTAACAAATCACCACAATAATATCACACAGCTCCTAAAACAAAAACATAAAAACAATAAAACACCACTAATAATGTACAGAGTATCAAACCACCAGTATCACACAGATAGTAATAGACAATAACTCACCAGGCAATATGTACATAACAAACAACTTGTAATACATGCTAAGCAATGTATAGAATACTACTGCACCAGTAGTCTACACTGAGCAAATGTATAGAGTAAACCACCAGGATACACACTGATCGATATGTAGAGTAAACCTCAGTAATATATACCAAGCAATGTATAGAAAACTACTCCACCAGTAGGCTACACTGAGCAATATATAGAGTAAACCACCAGGATACACACTGAGCAATATGTAGAGTAAACCTCAGTAATATATACCAAGTAATGTATAGAATACTACTCCACCAGTAGGCTACAGTGAGCAATATATAGAGTAAACCACCAGGATACACACTGAGCAATATGTAGAGTAAACCACCAGGATACACACAGCAATATGTAGAGTAAACCTCAGTAATATATACCAAGCAATGTATTAAATACCACATCACCAGTAATACAAACTGACTAATATAAACAGTAATAGCTGCTGAGCAATATATAGATTAAACTACCAGTAACATGTACTGAGCACTATATACATAAGTAACATACAACCAGTAATACACATTTAGTAATATACAGAATAAACGCCAGAAATGCCAAACTAGCAAAATAAAATAAATAAAATACACATTTAGTAATATATACAGTGATTATTCCCAAAGCAAAATACAATTTGTGATTATTACCCTAAACCATATTGTAACCAATGAAAAGCCAAATTGAATAAATTAGGATAAAATGGCCGAGCTGTGACAATTGCTCAGTTAGAGAATTTTTTAGGATCAGCAATATTTGCCCAAATTTGGCCAATCGGCTTTTGATTCGTTTCAATTTCGATGTTTAGTGAATAAACCCCATATTATAAGAAATATCCATACAGATACTATAGTGCACAGCCAGAAATATACACGGTAACACACAACTGGCAACATTAAAGTAGTTAACACACCAAGTTTATACAACCAAACACAATTTCAGCAATCAAGCAGGAATACAAAAGCAGAATGAATACTACTAATGATAATTAAAAAAAAAAATGTTTTTAACTATAACGCTAAATCTCACAGTTATCAACACAAGAAGGTCAAGGAAACGTTACGACATAGAGTACAATAGAGTACATAGAATCAGGAAAAAAATCGTGAACACTTTTTTTCAGTAAAATATATAATGACACGCTATCAGTAATAATTACATGTTCAGTAATGCATTTATCGCATTATTTAATACATTATCAATGTATTACTACACACACAAAAAAGGCACCAGATAAAAAAAAAATAGATAGAAATACACAATCGGCCAAACCATTAAGAATAAAATACAATGTTTCTTTTGTTCAGGGACGTTAATACGTAAATAAAAACAGACCGAAGTAGATACAACCAGCAAGATAATAACAAACATACAACTAGTAACAAACAGCGCCAAACCCTCCTTCCCTAAAGTAAAGGGAATACATTTCCCCGAAGCCACAATTGCTAAAACCACAGCTCTTTGAGGAATGGCAGCCCAGTCTAATCATCACAGGGTCAATTGGCTGTAATAAAAAAGGAAAATAGAGCTCTGCTATTTCTGCAATGAATACATTTTTATAGTTACATAATAAATACATTGGCAGGGCCCAACCTCTCACTAAACTGTACGAGAAGTCTTCATTATACTAAATAACCAGGATATGTTATATCTAGATCAATGAAGACAAACACTATCTTGTTAACTATAAAGGTGAAAAACACAGTTAAATGGAACTTTAACCCCTGTGCATTTCAGATGGATATGGTAGATCTCCCTTTAACAATGCACTCCTTGGCATGTCTAAATATATCTATATATATATGGTTTGTATTGTGCCATGCAATAAATCTTATATTATGCTATTTTACACAAGACACGTGCTTCAATTGCTTCCACTACTTAAAATTATTTTTTCCATTTTATACACAGCCCAGAGTTAGCCCTGTGGGATCTATAACACTCACAGACAAATTGTTCATTAAAAGCGATTTAGATAAAAGGATGGCTGGCAAAGTATTATTATATGAACTCGTGTGTCAGGTCTCCAGTCTACAGCAGAGAAGTGCCTTTCCTGACAAGTTTTACAAATGAGAGTGGGCGTTATATTGTTATATGGCTGTTGTCTCCCATGTTGTAACAAGTAAATAAATGTTGCTTACCTAACTGTTTCTTTTAATACTGGGACTGAGTGGGAGAGACTTATTTCCCAATCCTCTTCTTTTAACAAAGACATTTAAGGAGCAGAGACACTTCGCTGCCACTAGCCCAGTGGGCTATATGAGACCACCACAGGAATTAAATGTGATAAATGATCTACCCAGTGCTGGTATTAAAGCAAACACAGTCTGTGTTTCTGTATACTGTGTGATCCCTTATTTACAATGAGAAACGTGTACCATATACACTCCCTGCTATTCCATCATATTAGTTGAAAAGTGGATTTTGTGTGATGGCAACTAAGATGGATTTTGGACACTTGGCAGAACTTTGCTCTAATGTTAATATGTATGCACACTGATTTAATCTCCCATTTCAACTGGAAGACAGATTTTCTCCATTTTATGTATGTGTTCTTTATCAGAATGGAAAGTAGAAAAAAAAAAGAAGAAAAAAAAGGTCCCTCATTTGAAAAGGGGTCTTTTTCCTACTGCCAGATGGAACTCAAGCCAGGGTTCTTTAGATTAAAACCAAAGTCCTCAACCAATTCGACACATTTTTTTTTCTTTTTTTGTTGCTTGAGGTCTTTTAACACGTAAAAAAAAAAGTCTTGAACAATTCCAAGTTTCCCTTTGGAGGCTCTGAAGAAAGATTCTGACGCTAAAGTGTCGTTATCAGATTGATGGGCTGGGTTTGATTGAAGTTTCTTTGTCATGCAAATGTCACACGGCATGATGGATGGGCCCAGATATCTGACAAACTTCAGGAGGTCTTCAGCCATTGGCCCCTAGAGAATCACGTGTCTCCTCAGTGAGAGACAGAGGGTTTTGAAGGCTGGCAATCCATGGATGAAAGTTTACAGCTTTGACATAGTACCTAAAGGTTGTAGGGCAGGAGGATTCCCCCAGAAACAGGTTGACCCTCCTCCATCACTGGCAGATGGACAATACCAGAATGGGCTCCTATCTGGAGTATGCAATTTGTAACCGTGGGACGAGCGCCTACTCACCCAGAGGATACCATCACCTAGACCAAGGAAACCCATCTTTTCCAGCTTGCCCGGGTACCAGTGACAGTTATAATGGAGATGGAAGATTTGTGGTTGGAGGGTCTGGAACCATCCCTAACCATCTCCATCAGCAGACCCACACGTATTCCCACCACCACCCTTCTAGCTCTGCTTTCCCCTATGCCAGCTCCATACCCTCCTATACACCTCAGGCTTGCAATCAAGGATATGGGCACCAGGTCTATCTAAATCAAGAATCAGATGGAGTTTATTTTCAGCAGTCTCAGTATTCTGCCAACACTGGACCTAGCAGCAGCCCTTTGTCTGAAGGCTACTGTGGAGGGGTGCCGGCACCTTCTCTTTATCACCAGCAACCCTATGGGCAGGAACATCAAGGGTTATTACATGGATACCCCAACCAAACCCCTGCCATGCAAGAGGAGAAGGACTTCTCATGCCCACCTGAGCAGACACTCTCCAACACGTTTGACTGGATGAAAGTGAAAAGAAACCCACCAAAGACTAGTAAGTACTAGTGCTTCCCTCCTCCTCCCCCTCTCCAGCAATGAGTTATTGCGTTTACTAAAGTCAGGCCTTAAGTTCACAATATTTATCTAAATTGTGGGGGCAGATCATTAATAAACCATTAATCTTCTCTGATAGCTTATAGCCCATCACATGCTCAAAGCAGTCTAAATGGTCAATTTATACCAAAACAAACCACTCATTTCTACATGCCAACATGAACATGCAAATCACCCATGGGCATATATTTTTACAACTAGAATCGTGTCTAAAGTTGTTAAACAGTGCAGGGTTGCAGCATTTAATTATAATAACGCTATTGGAACTGAATGGTAGCTAAAGGGTCTGTATTGGGAGCAATCGCTGTAAAACATTGCAACATTGAGATATTAATAAGTTGCAGGAGTGTGATGTGGTTCAACCGCATTCAATGCACCTTTCTCGCATTAAAGAATGTTACTCTTTTGATTGTTATAACTGTGTCATTTTCCAACAAGTCACATAAAAATAATTAAAAAAAACCGTATTCACTTGGCAAATTAGGGACTTGGTTGACGTTGGTTATTTTTCTTTACAAGAAAGAACGATCTAAAACCATATGAATACAGTTTGTAGGGAGGATAAAGTTCCAAACAGTTATTTATAGTTTTATTAATCACATCCTTTTATAACATAGGAAGCCAATGAGTTAGGTTAATTACATATGATATTATTTGGTGTTAAATCAGCATTATTTGGTATAAAACTCATGAGTATTTAGATGGGATGTGAGGTATAGGAGTTTGTACTGAACTGAATTTAATCAAATAGATTTTAGTAATATGTCAAATAATTATGTTTTTTTTTAAATGTATTTTTTAAACATTTTACAATTGTATAAACTTTTTTTGTGTAAATCTTTATTTTTAAAATGTGTTGTCTCATTTTCCAAACAGCTAAACCATCGGATTATGGGCTAAATACCCAGCAAAACAGCATCAGAACCAATTTCACCACCAAACAGTTAACTGAACTGGAGAAAGAGTTCCACTTTAACAAGTACCTGACTAGAGCCAGGCGTGTGGAGATAGCGGCCACTCTAGAACTCAACGAGACCCAAGTAAAGATCTGGTTCCAGAACCGCAGGATGAAACAGAAGAAGAGAGAAAAGGAAGGACTGGCTCCATGTATCATACAGGGATCAACGAAGGAGAACAGTGAGATATCAGACCTTTCCAGTTCTACTTCACCAGATGCTTCTCCAAATTCAGTCTAGAATTCTTCCCAGAAGAAGATGAGCCGCCTGGACATTTTAAGGTTTACACAGATGTTGTACATAGTTTATTTTGTTCTACAAATACCTTCTTATTTATATAATGCGGGGAAAAACAAAGCTACAAAGCCAATTTTGTATCTACCTAGAAAAAGAAAACGCAACAAGTCTTCTCAGGGACCCCTTGTGTTCTGGTGCAGCCATACTTTGAGATATCCCCAATTTCTTGCTGGTCTAGATTGTTATAGGGTTAGGGTCAATGTTCTTTTTGTGTATGTAAATAAACAGTAATTGCACTATTGCTTAATAATTATTAATGGCCGTTTAGGGCTTCAGTTTTATTGATATGAAACATAGAAACAATAAAATATCAGTGCCTGTATGAAATGAGGAAAACGTTTTAGAAAAGTATATTTACACAGGATTATCTAAACCGAACAATATGTTACAATATGTCAGTCAGATTAAAGCGAAAATAGCAGTAAATCTGTCATCTGCCAGTTTGCCTATTTATTAGGTGAGGGAAAAAAATCAAGAACTAGCCCATTCATCTGAGCAATCTATATTGGGTTTTTATGAAGTCGTTTAGCTCCATCTTAAACTAAATAAAATCTACCTCATTTTACATATTGTGTTTTGTTATTGTTTCTTCCCCTATTAATACTTCTAGACAGTCCTTGACAAAAAGGCATAGGCAAAGCCATTATTTCTATCAACAAATCATATAACACATTGATCAAGTTACTTTGGGCACTCTTTTGACTTAAGAGCTTACAGTTTGTAGTTTGACATTTGGAAGAAAATACGAATAAATGGAGCATATACTGTTTATCCTTAAATTCTGTCTAATTCCAAACACAACAAAAATTAATATTTTACTGTTAACGCCTTAAAAACAAATGACAAAACAAAAAGCTAAACAGGATTCTCGATTACTTTATTTTTCTCTCTTTTTTTTTTTATTATTCCAAATAGTTCAAGTCCTGCGGGCAGGATGGGATTTGTGTGCACACACATCAAAAGCACTTTTATCCTTAGTTGCCAGTTTGTAAATGCAGGTTACACGCTGATACAACTGATATTGTTTTCTGACCAAGTAGGGCTTAAAGGTCTATCACTTTCCCATAGTGTAGCCCCCAGTATTATGGGAAAATGATTTATTTGGAATCTTTCCTTCCTTTACCTAGGGAGATCAGTTACCGCACTGCTTGACTTTGGGGATGGACAGAGCACATTTTCTCGTTGTTTGCCAATGAATGACTCAATTGAAACCCATCACACAGAATTGAGGGTTCCCCCTGGGTGACTCTGAACGTGAAGGGAGATTGGATGAGAGACTGAGGACAGGGAGAGGTTGTGACTGCATGTTAACAGAATGGCTATTGGGACAGACTCCAATGACCTGACTGGTGTTTGGTAAATCGAATTTTGAATTTTAAAATAGTTTTACTTAACCTTGCAGAACCTATAATGAGAGCATGTAGTTTTCGACTATATCCTTAAATGTCTATATGCTCATTTTATAGGAGGATAACAATCTAGCACATATATATTATGAATCTGTTGCTAATAACGATGAAGTAAAAAACAAACACACAAAAAACCCCCAGAAAAAACAACCACCCAACCAAAAAAATAAAAAGCCCCAGTACTTTTCTGTAACTATTTCCCACCATAGTACCATCGTTTAAAAAAGATTGGATTCGTTATTTTGGTTAGCTGAGTGTTGAAGAGATGTCCTAAGGGTGACCTTTCTCCTATCCTCCACCTCTCAGAGCTGTCAGAGACTTCTCCTCACAACGTTTTGACCAGGTGCTCTTTTTTTAAATTTTTTTTTTTAAAGTACTGAAGGTTTCTTTCTCTTCAATTGACTACAACTTCCCTTCAGTTTACCCTACTTTGACAGCTTTATTTTACCCCAACCCTCCGGTGGACTGCTTCAATATTTACTCAAGTTGATGGCTTCACCCAGGACCTCCTCTCAACAGTTCTGTCCTGCAGGCTCCTTCCCCCAGGCAGAGGTTCACCTAAAGTTCATCTGGAAATCAAAGCACCACTGACTAGGCTGAATGTCCCAGGATAGACCTGGGGATGGACGCAATTTAAGGTCATGTTGAGGTCTTTATAGCCCCCCTGGGTCTAGCTCTCAGTATTTTGTACAGTACAAGACATTCTGTATTTCTCTGGTTGAAAAGCAAACTATTGCCACATTTGGATGTAACCCCAACCTTAATGAATAAGCTTCACTGTATCAAGCTCAACCAGGGGATTCTGCAATTTATCTCTGCCTAACTGTAAATATATACAAGCAGAGTTCTACTGGGTAAAATTCTGTGAAACTATCAATAATTATTTTATGATAAACAATAAGAATAATGGATTTTTTTTAACAGCCTCAATGAGCCTATCATGTTTATTTTCTCCCACTCACTTCTCTGGAAGTTAAACCACTAAATAAAACATTGAAAAACAACTACAACATGTGTAAATCATTTGTTCACGGTAGCTTCCATGTTGTTTTTAATTTATATTAAAGGAACACTATAGTGTTAGGAATAAAAACCTGTATCCCTGATTATATAGTGTTCTCCTGTGCCTTAAGTTTAAGAGCCCCCCTCCCCCAAATCTAAATTCTAAATATAAAATTTAGATCCACTAGATCCACCAGCTGCGACAGCATGCTGGCTTTTTTTCAATCCAATGTTCATAGAGGAGCACCAAGGACGAAAAACACATGTGCACTCCACTGCGCTCCTCCAATAAAATGGAGATTAGCTGTGAGAACCAAGTTTGACTCAGGGCCTCCACTGGCGGTGAGGAGATGAAGTGGTCTGGGTGCCTTTGATGTTCTTTTAAAGATTTTAAAAAAATACTTCACAATCTAGTTTTGGCACAGGTAGGGCAGGCCTGTTGTTTCATTACGCTTTTCTTTCTATGTTTTCTCAATACTGACTGCCAGGCGGAAAGACCTTAAAGACGAGCTGCACTTTAGAATTTACAGCATTGAATAAAACATTGAAAATCACCTATAACTTATGTTACCCTTTTGTTTTCCAATTCATATTAAATATTCAGCAATCATAATAACATCAACTACGTAATCCAACTGAGAGCATGCTCTGTATGCTTTCGTTATGCTGACTGCCAGATGGAAAGGAGTACTTATGATCCAGGCACCCAGTTGCAGGTTAAAGAGGTGTTGATTTCTGCATTGCATTTTGTTTTTTCACACCTCACACACATATATTTGTTAAATATAGGGATATGTAAACATAATATTAAAAACAGGGGAAGTGACAGTTCCCTTTTAAAACAATGACTAATATAGAGATACCCAGTTGCAGGATTAAAGGGTGTTGATCAGGGGTTCCGAAAAGGTAGCTCCCCACATTTACAACTCCAATGATTCTTTGCATTACTTTAGAATGACAAAGCATCATGGAAGTTTAAGTTTTAAAATATCAGGGGATTAACCTTCTGGGCACCCCTGGTGTAGATGACATATTTCAATGGATACTCCATTGCCAAAATACAAAGAAAACCCCCCCACTATTTGATAGTTATACCTCCAATGAAAACATTTGAGCATTTAATTATGCATTTTATATATGGGAAAGGCTGCATATATCTTGTCTGCAGCATTTGCAAGCCCTCTCCTTTTAACCCCGCCCAGATTTTCTTTGGCTGTGCTATCACAGATATCCCAATGCAATGCAATGTTCCTTTAATTTTAGTTTTCGCATCGTACAAATAAATAGGCACCTGTATAATGCTCAATAAAAATATAATAAAGTAAATTAATATTTTTTAGGGCTGTCTTTCCCCATGGGCATGCTGGGCAGTTGCCCGGGGGCCCTATAGGCATTGGGGCCCCATTGCGCTGCCCAGCATGTCCAGGCCATCAGGGGAGATCCTTTGATTTTCCCTGTCAGCCCATGGAGAGCCAGCCCCGTTTTGTTCCGGCCCAAAGGCCCTTCGTTAGAGGGGAGAGATATCGGGAGGACCCGGAGGCAGGAGGAGGGACCTGGGAGGAGATCGCTCCTCCTGCTAGCATGCTGTGTGGAACGTTGCCGTGCGTTGCCATGGCTCCACACAGCGTTCAGCTCAGGAGGAGTGAAGATAGCCTGCAGCCAAAGGAGCTGCAAGCTATATAGATCACCATCAGACCACCAGGGCAGTTTCCCCCCCTCCTTCACAAAAGGTAAGAAGAAAGGTTGGGGGGATGGGGACGGGACGGACATGAAGATTTCATTAATAATTCACATTTATTATTTAAAAAATAACAAAACAAGAAAACCTTTGCTCCATGCACCCTTCACACTCTGCAACACACACACACCTCTCACCCCCTAACATACAACACCACACACACACACACCACTCACCTCTCACGTACAGCACCTCACACACAGCACCCCTCACACACACAGCCCCTCTCACACACACACAACACCCCCCACACACACATCACTCCCAACACACAGCACCCCTCACACACACCACTCCCAACACACACACAGCAGCCCTCACTTACAGCACCCATCACACACAGCAATTAATTGAAACAACTGTGTATTATGAACACAATGGGTACAGTATGAATGAATATTTGATTGATAGACTTGGAGGTGCAATTTTAAACAGACTATATCCTGATATTATGCATATTTCATTTGCATAAACACATAAATGCATTTACAACATCTTAACAAAGGACAGTCACATACATAAAACACAATACCACAAACAGCCCACAAACAGACAAAGATGCGCCTATACATAACACAATCAGAATATTCCAACACACACATATTACTTTTTGCAAGTACAATCACGTTTGCACTTGTTTTTTCTTGCCATATCAACTGCAGTGGCCATAATAAGTGCTCTAAGGATGCTGGTTTCATCAGAAGGATATAAGTCTTTGGTGGTTCCCCCAATATGCAAGCTACTGCGGGTAAAGTCTCCCAATCAACTTCAGCCACAAAGGAGACCTACATTTA